TATTGCTGACACATTAGGATGTGCCACCTCTAATAATACCATAGATTCATATTTCTCTGAGGGTATAATCAAAGTGGTAGGACCATCATCCTTTGTATTATGTACTATTTGCCCTTTTACATTGTATCTTTCATTTGTATCTTTAGTGAAGGTATGTTCGTCGACATTCTTAACTGCATTGCTTACAGACTTTGTAAAATTCTCTGTGGATAATCCTTGACCATCTGTTTCAGTCATTTCTAAGACCAGCTTTTCTTCATTAGGAACATTTGACTCTACTGAAAGAGAGCTGGTATACAGATTTCCTGAGTGCAATGTTTCTCCAGGCACTCCCATTGCTGTTGTGACCGACTCATCTTTCTCCATAATCTTAAATATATTGTCCAAATTGGATGGTGTGTTGCTCTGGATGCAAGTGTCCAAGTCCAGCAAAAAATGAACTTTTTTGCCAGGTTTAATAACATTCTCCTTTCCAACATATACGGTTTTCTCTTCAGAATTCTGAAGCTGCAGTGACCTATTTTGCTTCAACTCTTTTTCTTCCTTACATTCAGTCTCCCAAATTTTATCCACTGATTTCTCCTGACATTTAGCAGGCTGATTTAATTGTGTTTTTTCTTCTTGATCATCTGCTTTCACAAAGGAGGATTGTGGCTGCTTTGTTTCATATTCTGCATCCCAGTCTTCTTCACAAGCAACATCTTTTGTGGCAAAGAGTGTCTTCCCTTTAAATAAAGTGGGAGCAATTTTGGCACCACTATTTTCTCTTGTGTGCTCCGCTTGTTGCATGGTATCAGAGTGCCCTCTCTTCTGCTGCCAGCTGCCTCCAGCAATCCCTGACCAACGAGGTTGCTTGGATGATGAAAATGAATCTTGGCTGGAGAATGACGAGTTTTCTTCTTGACTTCTCTTCCTGTTTCCAAAATCTGATCTGAATGATCTTTCTCTGCTAAAAGTACTCCCTCCGCTCTGATCTCCTCCACCTGCCCTCCAGCAATTGGAATTTGGACCACCATTATACTTTCCGTTGGTCCTACCAACATTCCTCTGTTGCCATTCAGTTCCATCATTTTGACCGTTTTTCCAGTTTCCAGAGCTTCTCTGAGGTGAAGCATTCCTCAAATCATTTCTTGAGAAAGAAGCCCTTGATTGACTAAAGCTACCATTTCGCCTTTCAGTGCAGGAAGTCTCACCTTGGGTCTCCATCGATTTAGGATCATCCCATTTTTGTGTTCCAGTGCTGGATTGTAAAAAGCTGTTCTGTTTCCATCTTCTCTCTGGAGAGATTGTTTCCTGATATCTATTGACAACCTGACCAGCATTACCGTAATTCTGACTTTGTACTGGCTTCATCTGACTAGGATAAGACCCTGTGCTATAAGTTACATTATTCGGATATACAGCACCTGTGGAATTCTGTTGCTGATTCACACATATAGGTACTGAACCATGGCCAACTGCAGTAGGTGTTCCCCTGTAACAGCAACAGGAGGTCTGAGGTATGTGGCCACAAGGGCTGGTGCTGATATTTCTACATGTGGCTGAACTGCACTGACCTCCAAAGCAAGAAACCTGTGGAATCATATTATAAGGACTCATAACAGCATGATTCAGCAAATAGGCAAGAACATCCAGACGTATGGGCACAGTGACTGAAGATAAGTTCCCTGCTTTCTGAAGGGAGTTGCCCAATACTGAAGGCTGCATGTCTTTCTGAGTGGATCCCGGAAGTATTTGAGTTTCCAATGCACGATTTGTGATTCCACCAGAGCTCATTACAGTATTAGGATTACTCATAAAAGAGGATGTCTTTTTCAAGATAGAACTGGTTTCGATGTCCTTCCTTCGATGGTTCTCTCCCTTGTGAAGACCTACCACAGCATTATTGTGGCTTGAACTGGGCTCTGAGGTGGCTGTTATTTCACTGGATCCACTAGGGGCAGTTCCCACGGCTGTCATGCTAATCATTTCTGACTTCACTTTAGCATGTGCATTTTGAGAATCTTGTATACTGTAATGTAAAAAGTAAAAGTATTGTTGGTTTTATTACAGTACATTTACATTAGATTGGGCAATTGTTTGGATTTAACACTATGCAAAAGAATTCATTGAGCACAAAATGTTCACAGCCTACTAAAAGTGTATGTTTATGATACTATAAAGCTTTCACTGTATGGAAAGTTACTTCTTGAGCTTTAGCATTAATCAGATATATCAAATGGAGAAAAGTGCTAACAATCTAAGAAAATTCTACAGTCAATTCACTTTACAATATATTCTATGAAGCGCTTTGAGGTGGCTAAAAGATATGAAAAGCGCTATATCAACTGCAAGGAATATTATTATTATAAAATGGTGGGGTCCCACACTGGAAGCCCCCCCAAAATAGCAGCATGTCAGAGAAATGTGGCCATAAGGGCTAATATTTCTACATGTTTCTATGCTGCATTGGCAAGACAGTTGTGGAATTATATTATGAGGACTCATGACTTTAGCAATTTTAAAATAATTAATTTGTTCTATTAATATAATCCTGAATTGGTAAACTTTTACCTATTCAAAATATACTTGCAAACTTGGCTATTATTTTAAAGTTTTTTTTTGCTGTCCACATTTCAAATGTATTTTAAATGTTTTTAAAATCACTGCTCCCTCCCTCCCTCCCTCCCAACAAACAAACAAACAAACAAACAGTAAAGTCAATGTCCTATATGTGCTACATCACAAAAAAAAATAATTTGGTCACTCAATCCATGACTGTTTGTGGGACACTGCTGTGCGCAAATGGCTGACGCATTTCGCCCACAAAAATATAGTCAATTAACTTTGCAATATATTCTGTGAAGCTCTTTGAGACGTCTCGAAGATGTGATAAGGCGATGTATCAAATGCAAGGATTATTATTATGACAGCATGACCAACAAACAGGCAGTGTAATGTTTTCTGGTGCATTTCTTTTTATGTCCTCATTCCTACTCTGAAATATACTCCCCTTTCCAACCTTCGGATGTTTGTCCTATCTGAACCTTATATCTGTATGAAATGTCCTGCTTCATTTGTGTCTCACTGTACTAACCCTAAGTGTACCTGACTAGTATTCTCTTCAGCATTCCTCCACTGCTCCCCAATGACCGCGTGTTTGAAGCCTTGCTGCTTTATTCAAATATATATGTTCCACTCAAATTACTATTGTCAATGCCCATTCTCACACTGGGTCACTCATAGTTTATATTCATCTAATATTGTACTGGATTTAATGACTCACCTCTTTAGCACTCCAGATCCTACCCAGTGTGAAGAGCCTACAGTTTATAAATGCTGCTGTTCTTGGCTTCCTACTGCAGTTCTCACCTTGAGACCATCTCACCACCATCCTTATCTCAAACCAGATCTGCCACATGAAATTCTAATGGGAAGAAGTTTCACCTGGGTCTAGATATACTCTTTTTTTATGTAGAGTTTCGGAGCTTCAGGAATTTGGCAAATTCTCAAATGCAGCCTTAATTTCGGAGATGATACTCTTCTTTTAAGAATCACTGAAAACCGACTTCAAAGTTAAAACTGAATTCAGCCATTTGCCAAATTCTGAACGCTCCAGAATAGAGTAAGAGTCCAGATGGATTTTCTCATCAATTATAATTTTTGAGAAAATTAAACAATAATTAGACTTGCATTTCATATAGCGCCTTATCACGTTGTCAAAACATCTCAAACAACTATATGTGAACCTATATTACACATTTACAGCTCTCAGGCAATAGTAGAACACACATTATTTCCTTCTTTGTTATTTCTTCTGAATGTCAATATTACCTACTTAGAAAACGCTTTAACAACTTTGTTTCAAAAGATGAAAATTAAAAGAATTACACTTAGCTCAAAAGATTTTATTCACACCAGAAAAACAATAATATTCTGTGAGTTAGCAAAATCTTACTCGAAATGAATTAAATTCACTCACAGAGATTTTGCATCAATTTTCTCTTAGTTGCAACTCAAATCCCAACATCACTAAAATGTGAACGTTTCTGAGAACATCATTTCTAACATTTCTTCCAAAAATGTACCACATCTATCTGAAACACTGGGAAGTGTTAAACTTCCCTTTCCCCTGCGGCTATGCTTTTAGAAATGCATAAATCTTTAAAAAATGAACACATGTAAAATCGACCTTTTGGGCTTAAATATTTACAAGATGATATAAACTATGCAAAATTCCAACTAACATTTGCAGTACAGTGCTGCACCTTACACCAACTCTCACGTTTCCTCCTTTAGCTGGTTTCACCCTGTGTTTTGGGTGAGGTTTGTGACCCCCCCAAGTCTTACCCTTCTTTAAGTGTTGAATTCTCTCCTCTCTGCAGTTCCATCCAGATCTCTGGCACCAGCCACCACTTCTCCTCTCACATTGACCATCACCTGCAGTCGCACCAGCAGCTCCAGGTTGTAATGATGAGATCAGCTCAGCCTCAGCACCAGTGAGTAGCACAGGTTTCTCTCCAGGATGCCACAAGCATCCAGTGAGGTTTGGGGATAGAACAGACGCACTATTTCGGACCACACCCAAACCAGATGAGAAAATAGTTCAGGTACTGTACTGGACAGGGATGTTGAGTTAACTGTTGTTACAATGATCAGGTATGTTTCTCTGATCTGTGTAAATGTGTGTTGTGCTTATTCTATAAATACTGAAGGTTGGATGAGTTAAATAAATACAATGTTAGTGTGGAATTATTTGTTATTCTTATATCCGATTTTATTCTCAAAGCCCCTTCCTTGCCTTGGGTTCAGTGGCACAATTTTGGGGTGATATTCCATTCCAGTTTTTGTTCAGTTTTTGCATTCAAGCTGCAAAGGAAAGTTTGTTCAGCAGCAACATCTCAGCTGTTTGCAATCCTGCTTTTATTCTGCTTCAGTTTTATTTCATTTGCAGATAGAATCAACTGCTTCCAGTCACACACTTCAGATGTGTTAAAATAAAACACAATTTCATAAGACAGTTTTATTGTTAAAGATACTTTATTTTTGACTTCCTTAACAGGAAAAGTAACATTAAGCAAAAACACATTCCATTCGATCAGTTATTTTGAAAATTAACTAAAATATTAATTAGACCCTACCTCATTTTGCATGCAAACTACATGAAACTGCTCCACAGATTTCACATTGATAAATGTTTTTTTCATTATACAGAATATTTTTACAAAAAAAGGATTTCCTGATCAGACAATAATTGTTGTTATGGTTATTTAATATGAATACAAATAATATTCTCAAAAAGTTGAATAGAAAACTAGCTCACTCGCAAAGTTATGCCATGAATCAGCAGCAACATTTTTTTTTTAAATGCACTGCACAAAGCTGAGTAAAATTAAACTGAATTCTCAAAAATATTCCACTGGGCACTTAGCAATTGCAGTATTCCGATTCATTTTACTGGTTAAAACAAAGCACCATTGTAGTTTGTGTGTAATGTTAATAATTTCAATGTGCCATAAAGCCAATGTCTTCCAAGCAATTTCTTAGCATAAATGGTAGACACTATTATGTTTATTTCGGCCATATAAAAAAAGAATAAAATGTACACGTGGCTGTGCTATTTAAAACAAACCGCACGCTCAGATTATCGGCTTCCACCACAACTGTATAAATTCATTTAAAATAGGACTATTTAGCATATTGTAATAACAAAAATAAATTCTGTTGGAGGGGCTGCTTTACACCAGCGTCGCCACGGATCGCTCTACTTTTTTCTCCTCCAAACGTCTAGCAGGGAGCCGATATTCATCCCCACTTAAGTCTGGCTGGATCTCAACATCTGAGTACAGAACTCTCTTGAGTGCCTTGACTTTTCTCAGTGTCAAGAAACTCACCACTGCACTCCCACAATACAAGCACGCTGAAATTAGACCAAACAAGGCCACAGAAGCATCCCCTCCCTGGACATCGCAATTCATAAAGGTGTATCCGCGACCAGCATACAAACGGTACCTCAATCTACATATTTCTGTGCCATTCACCTTAATTATCAGATGCAGATAGAGTCCTACAGCTATGATGTACCCGATACAGGCAAGCACATTAAACACCACCTCCCCTGTGAGCAGTTTAAAGGAGAGGCGGTGAGGAGGTTTGGCACCACCCACCAGGAAAAGTAGCGTGAGGGAGCCCACAACAATGGTGAATGCGACCCCTCCATATACTCCTGGAGCTCTCATCTGACTGTACTGCATGTCGAGCTCCCGCACCTGCTTCAGCTCTGTGCCTTGGAAGGGACTGTAGGCCGAGTCGATGCTGAAAGCTCCAGCCCCGAGTCCTCCCATCGATGTGTATCCAGATATCGCTACATGGGAAGCGGCTATGCAGATCAGGACCATGAGATTGGTTATAAGTTCTGAAAACTGCAAAACACCTGTGAACAAAAACGCAAAGATTGTAAACATTGTAAATATAAAATTTATGAAACTGTTATAAAAACTTTTATAAAACTCTTTTGTTTTCCATTTTTCACTAGTGACAGGTATTCTGGTGACTGGAGACGGACTGCGGTGTTTACAGCTCTGTATTGTTATTATCCTCCTCAGGAATTATGGTATAATTTGTCTGATGAACCCGATTGCCAGGACAATGGCTGCCATTATTTGTGCCCACCTGGGAAACTGTCTGATGCAGTAGGCTTACACTTCACAGGGCAAAGTTTCAATCCTGTCTGCTCTGATAGAACGAATGCCCCAATAGAGATCAGACTGTATTTGCCTCTTCTCGTGGAAATACAAAAGTGTCAAGTGAGTCACCAAGATGGATTTGCACACTGCTGAGTGACTAAATCAAGAGCAACATTTGCAAGAGACCTGGACATGGTCATTCGCTTACCCTCTTAGTCGACTGTTGCATCTCATAAAATATGATTTTCTTTCTTAAAAAAGATAAATCATTTCATTTATGGACATCAGGATGTCAAATGTGTATATGGTCAATCCTGTAAACATTACACTCAATGGTAAACTGGTAAACATACTTTCTAAATTACAAATTTTATGTCTGGGCTGCGTCTACTTTATTCCCTTTTAAAGTTCAGTGTGAATCTTTGTATACGTATGGACAACAGGAACTCCCCTTAGATACATGGCAGTTATGCTTTAAGACAATAGTTGTCATCATCAGAATACTTCTAATTTAAAGATTAATTGGTTAGTTATCTCTTTGCACTGCATGGGATGCTGCTGGTGTAGATTAGTTGCCATATTCTGTATAATAATCCTTGCATTTAGCAATATCTTTTTACACTATTTCTTACATTTAAAGATAATTCATTGTATATGTTTTGAGAGCATTTCACACAATTAAATGGAAACATTCTTTATATTTTGAAAGTGAAGGGAAAGAGGAAATTGTAATCAACTCTCCATAACACAACAATATCCTACAACAGCCATGAAGCGAATTTCAACTGGGGATTGTTGGCCAGGACACTGGAAGACTCTACCTTCGCTTTTCAAATACTACTACTACTAACAATAATAATCCTTGAATTTGATAAAAGCGCTTTATCACATCCTTGAGATGTTTCGAAGTGCTTCACAGAATATACTGTAAAGTGAATTGACTATATTTTGTGGGCGAAATATGGCAGCCAATAGCGCACAGAACATACTTAGACAGAAGTCCGTAACTCTGTCGAGCTCCTTGGGACGTCCTCCCGACATGAAAGGCGCTATACCAATGTAATTTTGTTGTTGTTATTTTAAAAATTCATTAAAAGAAAACTTATGGAGATAATTTGTAAATGCACAACAATAACAGAACAGAGTTAAGTTTAATTTTTGGAACGCACAATGAGAATATTTCGACATTAACCACCAGCAATTCAAAAAACAAACAGTTTTAGTGCTGAAAGAAGTTTAACCTCCCATGTCTATTAGCATTAATTATTTCATTGTTATGATGAATAAATCCTTTGTAAAATGTAGCTGAAAATAGCTGTTTTGCTGAATTTGAACAAGATAGCAGATTTAAATGACTACTTTTTCTAACTGAGGTTTCATAATGTTTTCTGAACTTTCAAGAAAGCAACTTTGATGGACGCTTCAAAAATAAACGTGAAATAGATTTTATTAAAAAAAACTTGTGGAGACAATTTGTAAATGCATTCAGAATAAAGATAAGAAAACAAAATACTGTACCAGCATCCCAAAAGTACATAGTTAACATTTGATATTTAAGCTCTCAAGTATAAAGCTAAAGTTTCAGGTTGAAAATAACCACTTTCCCTGATCGCACACTTCACACTATTGTAACAGTCTCTAATTTGTTTATGTTTCAAAGGGCTTGCTTGGTACTTCCAGCAATTTCCAACACATGGTTCACATTTTGCAGAAAACAAGGATAATGGACTTGTTGGCTAAGGAATGTGATAGCATTTCTGTAGTGTGCATAGTTACATTCAAACAAAGCAACAGAAAATACACTTCATTTCATTATCCTTCATTCTGATTTCAATTGTTTTAAGAAAAATAATGTGAAATAAAACATCCTACATAAAAAAAATCCTTCAAATGGTGGAGGGTTAACTGAAGAGTTGTTCTGTAGCATTTGATACCAGAAACATAAGAATTTAATAGATTCTTTAATGTTTAAAGACACCATTCCAGTATTCTAAAAACATACACCTAGTTGTAAATTTATACAATGAAAGGGTTCAAAGGAAATTTAATTCAACTACTGCATGCATGTCTTTACCCAGAGAACATGGAACTCACGTGGTTGAAGCAGAAAGTAAGAATGCATTTAAGAGGAAGCTCAATACATACATAAGAGACGAGAATAGAAAGGTATGGGGAAGGGAGGAATTGATTAGGATAGGTGGAGAATCATGGAGTATCAACCCTGGCATATCCTAGTTGGGCAAAATGACCGGTTCAATGTAAATATGTTTTTGTGACATTGACTCAATTGTTTGAATCTCAGGCGTTTTAATTTTCAATTGGCAAATTAACCAAGATTTTACATTTGATGATAAGTGAATGCGTCTTGAAAGAAAATATTAAGAGCTTAAAATTTTATTTTTTTTAAAAAAAGAATATGTTTAGATTTGAATACATACAAAAACTGCAGAACTGATGAAGAAAACATAATGGTATCTTTGCCACACACTGAAACAGTGAAGCTGTCATCAAATGCTTCTTGCATGACTTCTACAATTCCAAGGTGAGGATGTGGCACAATGTAACAGAAAAACCTACAGTTACCAGTTTAAAAAGTCTATAAATGTGATATTGGTTACTCCAAGTTACAATGCACTTTGGCAGAAACAGCCCAGGAATAGTCTTAATCTGGTATCTAAATTGCTGTCCAGCATAATAAATTCTGTTCTGAAGTCCGTTGCCACTAAGCTTCCCTGAAAATGATCCATAGCGACCAAAAATTAAAATGAGGTAATGTAGTTTTTAAAAAGTCAACAAAGCACAGGGAAACTGACATATATACATACGCACACAGTGCAATTTATACAGCCTTTATACTAATATATATATATATATACTGTATACAATTTATACTACCCTTGAAAACAACCTGAAAAGTGGCTTCAGTGAATTGACTGTGTATTTGTGGGCGAACGCGGCAGCCAATTGCGCACAGCAATGTCCCACAAACAGTTGTAGATTGAAAATGACCAATTTATTATTGTTTTTGGTTTGGGAGGGATTATTATTAGGCGTGTGGAGTAAGGAAACTTGCCCAAGGTGTCGCCCTGCCTGGAATTGAACTCAGGTCTCTCGTTTGCAAAGCGAGTGCTCTAACCACTGAGCTACAGGACTCCTCCTAGGTGACCTTTCTCTCTCTAGCCCAGGTGTACCGTGGTAGTCTCCTAACCATTACCTTGGCCGTGACCAGCAAAGTCAGCACAGACGAGAGGTCTTCCTACTTCGTGATTCAGTTACACACAAAAAATGGACAGGAAGTCTTAAAATTCCTTGAAATTAAAAGCTACTCCAACACACGATTAAAATGTTACACAGTCTCACTAGTAAGATAATGAAGCAATGAACTAGAGTGTCAAAAGTGTGACCTTGAGCAATTGTATGTTCCTCAAACATTTAAGAAAATATATAGGAAAGCTTCATGTGACTATCTGTTCCGTAACCCTTCCAAAGGAATCTTAATGAAAGCATGCCATATATAATAGGGCATGGCACCTCTTTCCCCCTGTCTTGTTGCAAACCCACCTTTGTTTTGTATTATTAACATCTCTTTAACCCATCATCCCCTGTTCCTCACCCCATTTTCTCCTTTGTCTTACTTGTCCTGCCTCCCCACTCGCTGTTAGTCCTTAAAAGCCTTTCCCTCCCAACATGCCCCAGTTCTGATGAAGGGTCATGGATCCGAAACATTGACTCACTTTCCTTTCTCCATAGATGCTGCCTGACCTTCTGAGTGTTCCCAGCGACTTCTGTTTTTCTTCATATATAATATTTATATTCCCTGATACTGCCAGATCCTAAATAATTCCCTTTTCACCTATACAATATTCTAACACAACTAAGAAAAACAACCCTGAAATATAAAAGTAAGCCAAAGACATCTGACATGAAGTTCAAATTACTAATCATTAGAATAGGTTATTCTCTCCTTTAATTCCTTCAAAAAGTTACCTTCATGAAATCCAATCTACCCGCTCTGTTAATATCACACATCTTCTGTTCTGTCAATGTGCTCACACAGTAGATAACTCCAAACACTTTTACCTTACTTCATGGACTACCTGGTTATGATGTGTGAAACTTTGCCTATAGGTGGAGCCCTAGTGAAAACTTTAGCAGATAATCCCAGCGAGTTAAACAGAATCACATGAAATTTGAAACAATTTTAGCATATTCTCTGCAAAGTAACAAGTTCACAGATGTTTCTATCCTAAAGTTTTAATTGCTCATAGAAATACAACTGGCTGTAGGCTGGCCAAAGAGGTCATGGGTACTGAAACCACATATTCCATCAATATATCTAGCTGATTATCAATGTAGTGATGAATAGTATAGCAACATTAATATGTTTGAATTTATTTTGAATTAATAACAGCTTATACAAAAAGGTCGGATTCCATTGGCACCACCTCAGAGGCTGCACTGCGTTTCCACACAGTAGAAGCCGCTGGGGGTTTTGTGCTTTGTGGCTGTGCCGCCCGTAACTCTCGGTAAGCCAAGACTCCAAAAACCACTCCGGCAATGTAAACAACAATAAGCATGACAGCAAAGATGGAAACTGCAACCTCTGTGCCAAGTATGTCACATTTTACAGAGGTATAGCCATGCCGGTTATAGAGAGATTCTCTCCTTTTGCACATGTCAGTAGCATTTGTTTTCTTAATGTAATGAAGGTACAGTGCTACTCCTATGAGGTAAGCCAGACCTGAAA